GGGGGGCGATGCCGCCATCCCCCTGCCCGCCGCCGGTCCGCTGGTGAAGGTGGCCGTCTGGGGGCTGTCGGGCACGCCTGGGGCCTTGGCGCGGGCCGTCACCCACACCGCGCTCGACTGGGGGCCCGAGTTCCTGCTCCGGCTCTTCTAGACCCCCCCCACCCCAGGGACACCGTCACCGGCCCACGGTCCCCAGCCGGCGCTGGGCTGCCCAGCCCGGGGGTGGTTTTCAATAAAGGCTCTTTTTGAGGCGTCTCTGTGCAGCCCCCCACCTCGTTTTTGGGGGTGCCCCTGGTGGGGATCGGGCCCCTGTCCCGCCCCACCGCCGTTTGGGGTCCCCCGTTCCCCCGAGATGAGGCCAGCGCTCTGCCTGCAAGAAGACTTTATTGGGAGTTTGGGGGTCCCCTGCCTGCTCTGCTCCCATCAGCCCCCGGGGCAGCTCATTTGCATGTGATTTACATGCCACTTCCCACCACGCTTTGAGGACCACGGGGTCCTGCCCCACCACCCCATCCCCGCAGCTCTTCCCATCACGTCCCCTGCACGGGGGGACTGTGGGGGGGGTCGCACCGGGGTTGGGACCCCCCCGGGGACCCCCCCAGCTCAGTCGAGGGTCCGGAAGGTGAGCAGGGGCGACTTCTCCGGCATGAGGATGAAGCGGAAGACGGTGCGGACATCCTCGGTGGACACCGCCTCGATGGTGAAGTTGCGCAAGACCTGGTGGGAGCCAAGACATTGGGTCAAGCCAAGACGTTGGGTTAAGCCGAGACGTTGGGTCAAGTCAAGACATTGGGTCAAGCCGAGACATGGGGTTAAGCCAAGATGTTGGGTTAAGCCAGGATGTTGGGTCAAGCCAAGACGTTGGGTCAAGTCAAGACGTCATTGGGTCAAGCTGAGACATTGGGTTAAACCAAGATGTTGGGTTAAGCCAAGATGTTGGGTCAAGTCAAGACGTCATTGGGTCAAGCCAAGCCATTGGGTCAAGCCAAATGTTGGGTCAAGCCAAGACGTTGGGTTAAGCCAAGATGTTGGGTCAAGCCAACCCAACCGCGGGGGGCCCCAGGACCCCTGGCCACTGGGGGAGGGGCACATTGCGGGGGGGGGTTCCCCACTCACGTGCATGAGGAAGAGCATCATCTCGGCCTCGGCGAGCCGTCGGCCGATGCACTGGCGGG